CCCAGCTTTGTGGCCTCCTCCGGGCTCCTCGAGGTCCCTTTGGGGACTGTCACACCAAGGTCCACCCCGGGGTCTTCTTCGACGTCTGCCTCCAGGAGCTCTGCGAGACCCCTGGGGACAAGGAGGTCCTCAACGAGGTCCTGGGCGCCTACGAGGCTGCCTGTCACCAGGCCGGGGCCCAGGTGGGACCCTGGAGCACCCCCAACGTCTGCCGTGAGTTGGGGACCACGGGGACACGGGTGGGAGGTGGACATGGGTCCTCTGGGGGGGTGGTTCTACATGTGGGGTTGTGTGGAGGTCCATCCGTGATGTTCTCTAGCTCCGTGTCCATCCGTGACACGTCTATGTGTCCATGGTGACCTCCATGTGTCCATCCGTGATGTTCTCCAGGTCTTTGTCCATCCATCACATCTCTGCATGTCCATGGTGACCTCCATGTGTCCATCCATGATGTTCTCCAGCTCTCTGTCCATCTGTGACCTCCCTACATGTCCATGGTGACCTCCATGTGTCCATCCATGATGTTCTCCAGCTCCGTGTCCATCCGTGACACCTCTACGTGTCCATCTGTGACCTCCATCTCTGTCCCTCCACGATGTTCTCCACCTCTGTCCATCTGTCACATCCCCACCTGTCCCTCCCCGACATGTCACATGTCCCCATGTCCCCACCAAACCCTCGTGTCACCTACAGCCCCGTGGTGCCCCGAGGACTCTGGCTGCCGCCCCGGTGACACCTCCTGCATCCCCCACCGGAAGATGGTGCCGCGGGACCTGCCGACAGGTGAGGGGACATCATGGGGATGGGGACACGGGATGGGACCTTCAGGAGGGGACAGGATGGGGACAAGGGATGGGAGGAGCTCAGGGTGAAGGTAACGGGGATGGGGACATGGGGATGGAGAAACCAGGAGAGGACGGGGGAGGAGATGGGTGGGTGGACAGACGGAGCAACCGTTGGAGATGATGGATGGAGAAACCATTGGAGATGGGTAGAGAAACCATTGGAGATGACGGACGGGTGGAGAAACCGTTGGAGATGGAGAAGCCAATGGAGATGATGGATGGAGAAACCATGAAGATGAAGAAGCCAATGAAGATGATGGATAGAGAAACCGTTGGGAGATGATGGTTGGAGAAACCATTGGAGATGATGGATGGGTGGAGAAACCACAGAAGACGGAGAAGCCAATGAAGATGGGACGGGTGGAGAAACTGTTGGATATGGATGGAGAGACCATGGAAGATGATGGATGGAGAAACCATGAAGATGGAGAAGCCAATGAAGATGATGGATGGAGAAACCATTGGGAGATGATAGCTGGAGAAAACGTTGGAGATGGACGGGTGGAGAAACCATGGAAGATGATGGATGGAGAAACCATGAAGATGGATGGGTGGAGAAACCACAGAAGATGATGGACGGGTGGAGAAACCACAGAAGATGATGGACGGGTGGAGAAACCATGGAAGATGGACGGGTGGAGAAACGGTTGGAGATGACGGGTGGAGAAACGGTTGGAGATGACGGGTGGAAAAGCCATGAAAATGGAGAAGCCAATGAAGATGGACGGGTGGAGAAACCGTCGGAGACAACGGACAGGTGGAGAAACCATGAAGATGGAGAAGCCAATGAAGATGGAGAAGCCAATGGAGATGATGGATGGGGAAACCATGAAGATGGACAGGTGGAGCAACCATTGGAGATGATGGATGGAGAGACCACTGGAAATGGATGGACGGGGGGAGAAACCATTGGAGATGACGGATGGAGAAACCGTTGGAGATGGACGGGTGGAGCAACCGTTGGGGACGACGGACGGGTGGACAAGCCAATGAAGATGGAGAAGCCAACGAAGATGGACAGATGGAGAAACGGTTGGAGATGGATGGATGGAGAAACCGTTGGAGATGATGAGTGGAGAAACCATGGATGATGATGGATAGAGAGATCATGAAGATGGAGAAACCGTTGGAGATGGACAGGTGGGGAAACCGTTGGAGATGACGGACAGATGGAGAAACCATGGAACATGATGGATGGAGAGACCATTGGAGATGGATGGATGGGTGGAGAAACTGTTGGAGATGGATGTGTAGAGAAACCACAGAAGATGATGGATGGACAAACCATGGAAGGTGGAGAAACCATGCAAGGCGGACGGATGGATGCAAAAGGACAGAGACATGGAGACGGATGGAGGGAAGGGATGGTGGGACGGGGAGATGGTGGTGGGACGGGGAAGCTGGTGGTGGGACGGAGATGGTGGCACAGAGGTGACACCCTGTCCCCGTGTCCCCCCCAGGCCAGCTGCTGGGCGCGCTGCCGCTGCGGGGCCTGGGCCTGGGCCAGCCCCTGGTGGACCCTGGGAACATCGTGGGCCCGATCCTGGGGTTACCCCTCGGTCTCCGACCACTCCGAGGTGTCCCCTTGGTCCCATAACGCCACCGTCCCCAAGGAGGGGACACAAGTGACCGGGAGGGGACTCAGGTGGCCGGGCGGGGGATTGTCCCCTCACCTGGTTGTCCCACCGCATTGTTAATTATTTTTAATTAATAAAAATTTTCTGTCTCCAGCTCTTGGTGGGGGTCTCAAATCTGTCACCTCCCCCCTTGTCACCTCCTCCCACCTTGGGGACATCCCCTCCCCACCTTGGGGACACCCCCCACCACCAGTAAAACCACACCCAGGACCAGTTCAACCCTTTATTGGCCGTGCCACCGCCTCGGTGACAGCAGTGTCCCCTCCCCTGGTGACAGCCATGTCCCCTCCCCCCCACCCTGGGGTGGGTGATGGCTTTGTCACCTCCCGCCCCTCCTCGGTGACACGGATGTCCCCTCCCCTGGAGGGGGGGTGGGTGACGTTTAGATCTTGCCAGGGAAGGTCCCCTCCTCGCGGTACTCGTCCCACATTGTCACCTGCGGGGTGACACGGTGACAGGGATGACACGAGAGCGGGGACATCGGGATGTCACGGGGAGGGTACGGTGACACTTTGGGGGACACAGTGACGCTGAGGACCATGGGGACACCCTGGGGACCATGGAGACACCCTGAGGACCACGAGGACAGTGTGGGGGCACCGTGAGGAC